AGGGGAACAGAACTTAGGGGAGGAGACCTGCAGGGGTGTGGATCAGAATTTTTTTTATGGCAAATATCTGACTGCATGAAAAATAATTGCATGTGAGTGAGCAGTGGTTGAGCTCACTCATTCTAGAGCAATGTTTTTTCTACTGTTCTGGCTGTGACCTACATTAAGAAATAAAATTTACATTATGACCCTGAATATATAGCATGTATGTTACAATCTAATTTCAGTTCATGCAGGACTACCTCCCTTTGCATGGTCCCATCTTCTTTAACATTTTTTGGGGGGGTCTGTCTTAGTGTTTTTCTTTAGAAGAGCAGTTGTTAGCTGGGCATGGTAATACATGCTTGGGAGGGAGGTTAAGACAGGAGGATTGAAAGTTCAAGGCCATCCTGAGCAACTTAGGGAGACCCTGTCTAAAAATCAAAACAGCTGTTGTTCCTAAATTCATGGAGTTATTCTCTGATGAAACAGTGGGTCACAATGCATGAACCGTTTGAAAAGCGCAGAATTTTCACATTCAGTAAACATTTATTAAGTCGTGCATGTGCGAACATACCCTTAGCAGTACTGAAGGTAGAAAGATACAAATGAGAGATAGAAACTGTTCAGTCTTTTTGGAGGTTTAAGGTGCGGCTTGGATTAAGGAGCAGGGCAAGATGATTAAATGCCAGCAATGAAAAACAAATGCCTGCAGTGCATGAAAACAGGGTGGTAGCCAGGGATTTAGTTCAGTAGCATAAGCGCCTGCCTGGCAAGTGCGAGGTTGTGAGTTCAATCCCTGGTACCAAAAAAAAAAAAAAAAAAAAAAAAAAAAAAAGGAAAAAGGGATCATGATATGTGCAGTGTAGATAGAGAAAACTCTTGGGATGAAGGAAGTCTGGGGTGAACAGTTTGGGTGTCTCAGATGTCGCATGGGAGAGACTCGTGTGCAAGTTAGAGGAGTTAGGAGTGACATAGCACATGCGTGTGGGTGTGAAGAACATGGGACTCTTGTGATAGAGCAGGGGCAAATTAGATTGGAGAGGTAGGAAGTATATATGTCTGTATTAAGGAGGGATTTGTAGACATTTTCAAGCCTATATGCTGTTACAGTTTGGATAGCATAAAGGTTTTTAAACATTAGGAATAATCCAGAAAACCTGTGGGCTTTTTGAAAAGAGTCAGATCTGACCGTCATTTCCAGCAGAGGGGTGGTCATTGCCTATGGAAAGGGTCAGGCCTGCTGCTCCCAAGCATCATGATTCCAGCGTCCTCTCTTGCCTGCCTGGGTCCAGTTGCTTGGCATTTCTCGCTGTGTCCCATTGGCATTTGGCTTTGTGACCTCAGTTTTCAAGTCTTGGATGCCATGCTGGAGAATGTGTGCTGCTGTCACAGGCCATGGGTGCCCCCCTCCCTGCCCCAAGGATTCTGGCAGGAGCCAGAGACTGTGGAATCCGAGGATTCCAACACCATGCTTTGCTTTAGGCCAGTGAGCAGCTCTTGCTGGGGAGCTGCTGGCTGGGCCTTGCAAATATTTTCATGATGAACAGCCTGGGATTTACTAGAGGGCTTTGCCTTGTCATCTAGAAAGCGAGGCAGACTTCTAGTGATCTGAAGTTCTCTCCTGCCTCTACTTCTGGCTGGCGTGAATAGATTGTGGCTCCTGGCATGTCACTCTGAAAGGGATATTGGGGTTATGAGTTGGTGAGTTGTGAGTCACAGCTGTCAGTTGCTTTGCGACATTAGATTCTGAGATGCTTTGGTTCTGTGGGTCCATAAAAGAAGACCAAGGAGAAGCGGGAGCCCCAGCGGGGAAGGGTGCATAGTCTGGAGAGGTTCATAGTGGCTGCAGAGTAGCTGGCTCAAGCCCAGGTATTAATGCATATGGCTACAGAAGAGTAGGTGTGTTTGGGGCAGCTGGTGTGGGAAGTCTTTATGGCTGAGGACACTCTGGCTTTTCCAGGAGTCCTAACTACCCACCATTCAGAGCTCCTCCCAGGTGAGCTGCAGGGCTGACCAATCATTTCCCTGCTTTTCACAGGTAGGACAAAATTTACCTAAAAGTATTGCTTTTTTTTTTTAAACACACAGATACAAGTTAGGAATTTTCTTAAAAGCGTATGGCCATAGGATGCAAGGGTACCTAGAAGTCAGCTGAATTACATCAAGTTGAATCTATTTCCTGTTTTATGTGATGTTTTGCTTACTAAACCAGAAGGGAATGATGCAGCAGTTCTGATATGTTTAGTTTTAGTAAAGTAGTTCACAGTTTCTTAAGATACACTTGTCTGTATTAAATCATAAGTACCATGATTTAATAGTAGGGGCTGGGTGGTGATATTGGTTTAATTTGGGGATCCTATGCAAACGCTCTTAGTTACTGGTGCAGAGTCAGCCTGGGAGGAGGTCAGAAAGTGAGCACCACAGGGCTCTGATTTTGGCATGGGTTGGGTTGAGTATAAGGAAGATGTGTTTGTCTGATTTGGAGGCACAGAGCTGGGAAGGACTGCTTAGTCTGTAGATAAATCAGAGTCATCTAGAATGAAGACCTCAAATTAAGAAGAAAAAGAGCCGGTGTGGCAGTGCACGTGTGTGATTCCAGCTAATTGGGAGACTGAGGCAGGAGGATTGCAAGTTCCGGCCCTGCTTGGGGGAAAGACTGTGAGCGTCTTTCTCTAAATAAATAAACAAATGGGGCTAACTAGGGTTGTAGCTCACAGCCCCTTCCCTCATTTCTGTAAATAATAAATATAAAGCATGGTTTAGTTTTACTGATTTGAGCCAAAATCTCAAGATGGCCAAATAGTCTAATAAGATAATTATTCTTCTGGGGATGTAGCTGAAACAAAACATGAAATATAGATGATATTTTCATGCACCCATCATTCAGATTTTTTAAAAACTCTAGTAAAAAATTGGTAGCAACCTATATTTCCACTGGTGTGGGCTGGAGATAGTGGATAGGTGAATTCCAGTGGATGTGTCTTTAAAATGGAGGTTTATGAAGTTATGCAAAATAATATTTAGGAGCAATTTAAAAGATAACCAGGGAGGATGTTTCTGGTAAAAGTTACAGTGTGTGCCTACCATCTAATTCCAAAGGTTTAAAAACACATGCCTAGAAAATAACTGGAAGGAAGTGTCCTAATAATACCAAACCTCCTTGTTTCTAGATGGGTTGAGCTAAGTGACTTTCTCTTTTTCATGCTTTTAAATTTATTATTTGCCAGTTGTGGAAAAAACCGCCACTTTAAACACATCTTGTTGTTTGAGGACAGGATGGAGTAGATGATTCATGTGGAGATTATTGTTGAGTACCTACCTGCCCCGTGTCAAGTGTTGGCTTAGATACCACTCTCACAAAATAACACCCAGCACCTGACTCTGGCACAGGCCACTGTGGAAGGCCAGGCTGTCTGGTGGAAAGTCTTGTGGTTTTTTTTTTTCTCTGTCATTTATGAGTTCAGCGTGGAGTCCTCAGTGGGTTGAGGTTTTCCAAATATCAAAGCCAGTGGAGAATCCCAGGATCCAGTCTTAATGACCTTGGTCATATGACCTTTGGACTCCTGGGGTGATTTTAAAGGAACCTGAGCATCAGGACTTGATCCACAAAGGGAGAATAGGGTGATGGAGACTCAGGAGTGACCTGTATGGGCTTGTGGAGGGGGTCTGCAGTAGTGCCTATAAAACGCTTTCATGGTTGTCAGGGGTAGGCAGGACCACTAGTGTTCATTTTTTTGTTTTTGGTACCGGGAATTGAACTCATGTACTTGCACTTGCCAGGCAAGTGCTTGAGCCGCTGAGCCAAATCCCTGGTCCTAGGTTTGGCCCCATAGGTAAATTCCCAGGGGCGGGGAAGATGACATCACGGTAAATTCCTAGGGGTGGGGGAGATAGGAGCTTCCTGGTTCCTGTTGAGGCTTTTCTGGCTGGAGTCCTGTCTGGGCCAAAACCCTTTCAAATTTAATTTGACATAATCTCTTTAAATGGTTGGCAGCGGTCATTTAGGGCTCTTGTTATTCCATACAGCGAGGCACCTTGGGAGAGTGCTGCACCCCATCTCTCCCCAGTGCTGTTCAGTTCAGGGCTCTGGCCAGCCACCTCAGCAAGCTTTTGTGCAGTTAGGAGCCATGCAGCTGTGTTCCCGTGGCACAGCTACTTACACATCTTTTCTGAGCCTCACTAGCTTATTCTCCGTGTGTTTTGTTTCTGTAGGCAGGGGCTGAACAAGCGTTGTGTGTTTTCACTTCAGTTAGATTTTATTGGTACATTTGGGACATACCTAATGATCATCATAGAGGATTTGTACCTCTACATGGTACTGTTTACTTTCCCATTCCCCTACCCTCCCTTCAACGTTCCTCCCCTTATCCATTTACAAACTTTCCTTTCCACGTTTTCTGTTTTGTGTTAAGTAATCAGATTTACAGTCTTTTCCCTTTTTGTTTCTTGATTTTTGAGACATAATCAGGAAAGACCTGTTGAATACATAGAAAAAAAAATCACCCAACGCTTTTTTGATATAGTCGTTTGTTTCTCCCATCAGTTGCTGATCCTTTTAATCCACACTGTGAATAACGAGGGGAAGCTCCGTCACCTACAATACCAGCCACCTGCGACTGGGCCCTGGCTCTGAGGTGAGCCGCCGCACCAGGGGTCTGCACCCTGAACTTTGACGCGTGGCCCCACCCCACCCAGGCGAAGGTGCCAACCAGGCCAGCAGCCACGTAGCGGTGTGCCAGGCCTAGTGCCCAGGTCCAGCGGTGAAGGTGCCTGAGCTCGGTGCCCTAGCGCGGCTACTGGCCAGCCTTGCTCTGCAGCTAGGTGACCCTGGGACCCCGCCCCCGGCCACCCTCATTGGGCACTCCACCCACCGGCCTCCTTCATTGGATGCTCCTGCCCCGCCCCCACGCGGTGTCCAGCTTTCGCCCCGCCCCCTCTGTGAAGCCCTGCAGCTTTGTGGTCGTCCTGGATACCCTCTGTTACCTACGTTTACGATTCATAGCGCAGCACGAAGCGGAAGGTGTAGCTGTGCAGTTCCGCCCTCTGCTGCCTCTGCCACTGGGAAAGACTTCTTTGCCACTGCTGGGTCCGGCCAGGTTGGGCCAGGTCCTGCCCGGTCCTGCCCGGTCCGGCCAGGTCCGCAGCGAGCGGTCCTTCGCTATGGACACGGTATCAGCCACTGTAGCCTGGGTCTTCACGTCCCCGGGCACCCCCGAGCTGCTGAAGCCCCTGTCGAAGCTGTATTCGGCCTTTGTAACCCTGCTACTGAAGGTGAGGCGGGGGAACCAGGGTTGGGCAAGGGGCGCTGGTCGCCCGCTGGTGGGACGGTCCCTTCGGAAGAGCCGTACCCAATGGGCAGGAGCCGGCAGGAGCGTGGTGTGGGCTGCAGAGGGCCGGGCTGAGGGAGCGGCATGGTCTGAAGCCAGCCATCGCCTTGGGAGCCACGTTCACGCCCCACCTGTTTCCTCGCACGGATTGTTTCATGAGGGTGCAGCAAATTGACATGCAGCCTCCTGGAGGAGTGATGCCTGATTTGTGGTGATCATTGTCATAGTGCTTTTGTTTGCAGATGCAAAAACCGATGGCTTCTATCATGTATTTACAATGTGGGGTGTGTGTGTGTGTGTGTGTGTGTGTGTGTGTGTGTGTGTGTGTATGTGTGTGTGTGAGAGAGAGAGAGAGAGAGAGAGAGAGAGAGAGAGAGAGAGTGTGCATGCACGCATGTGCAGTAATAGAAAACAGCTCACCTAAGCGTGATCTGGGCCATGTGTGAGACACCGTGAAGAAGAAGGGCTGTTGGCCAACTGGGAAATAGGCTCAACTCACTCCCTAAGTTTAGAGAGTCCACATACAGGACAAGAACGTGAGCCTGACTGTATCCCCTTTCCGGAAGTTTCTACAGGGCACCTGGAAGTTGGTTTAGACTATGGAGAGTAGATTGAGAGTATCTGTGATGATCCTTTGTGATTGCTCCGCCAGTTCTGTTAACGTTTCCGTTATTTGTGCCCTTCCTTTTCAGCTGGTTGCAGTGTTACCTGAGAATCTCCAGCCCGGGCCTGGAGACTTTTATGGGCTCCCCTGGGAGCCTGTATTGCTCACTACCTGTGTTGGAATCCTTATGCTTGTGATTTTCTTGTGGAGGAATGTTTTTCCAGTGAGTGAATTAACTTGTTCTTTGACTTCTGAATATATTGAGGATTCTATTATCATTGGCCCTTTCAGTTATTAACATAAACAAATCAGTGGTTATAATTCAAGTTAGTTTTCTGAAATAATTTAATCTTGGTACTGGCAAAGACTTAAGAGCAAGCTAACCATACCCACTTGTTAGTAGAGTTGGTGACTCGTACAGCCATCCTGAAAAGCAGTTTAATAATTCTATATATCATAAGCCTTTAAAATGGGATACAAAACAGGATAAGAAATATAAATTGCTTTTATATGGTATGATAACATCAGTAAGTGATCTTAAAGAAATAAATTACATGTTAAGATTTTATACAAAGGTATTAGATGTAGTATTTAATACAGTAATAACTTGGTGAAACCTAAATGATCTATATTTGGGAATATCATGTTTCACCTTATTTATATCCACAGAACAGAATATTAGGCTGCTGTATGTATTTCAAAGGCAGGGGACAAAGAAGGTGTTCACGATTTAATGTGAAGTGGGAAAAGGGGAAACAGACCGTGAGGTACTGATGAACTGTGCTGTAGAAACATACAGGGCAAGAAATACAGTAAGATGGTAGAAATGTCCAGGCAAGATCAGGCAGAGTGGTGTGTGCATTCCTGTGGCCCTGGGGGAGAGGGAGGCTGAGACAGGAGAAGTGCAAGTTTGAGCCCAGCCTGGGCAACTTGGTCACTTACCAAGAGCCTGTCTCAAGAATAATGGGAAGGCTGAGAATGTAGTTCATTGTGAAGGCCCCGTCCCAGGTACCACCAAAACCAACCCCAAAACAGCACCCTATGAAAGATTCCTGTGAGGACTTCTGGAATCTCACCGAACAGCTTCTTGGATAAAAGCATGCCTGGAAGGGTTAGCAGAGTGTTTGGGGGTGAAAAGGTGCTGTTTCCCCTGCTCCTCTCCTTTGGTTCCCCTGCAGCTGCTACCCAGCAGGGCTCTCAGGCTCCGCCCTGCAGCTTCACACCCTGCCCCGGGCTCACTTCCTCCCACTCCCTGAGGTCACATGGCTCTGAGGGGACACTCCTGATCCTGGAGAGCACAGTCGCCCTCCCCCCCACGCCCCTCAGCTGGCACTGCGCTCTGCTGTCCTATACTGTTTATAGCACTCGGAAGGAGAAGACAGAGTCTGCATTACAGAGAAGTGCAGTGATCGCTGCTGTGGTATTTAATTAGTTGCAGTTTAGGATTTATGACCCCAGAAGGCACCGGGAGGAAGACCTGGGTCTGTGCTCTTCCTGGAAGCCGTTAGCTGTCATTTCTCTGTGTTCTTCTGGTGTCTTCCCTTCTGCTTAGATTTACTACTGTTTTTGTAGTCTTGGGAAATCAGATGAGGTGTATTAGATTATTTCTTAATTGAGTCAATAGATCACTTGAAATAGGGTTTCTGAGGTATCTTCCAGTGGGTGAGAGAGGCGTATCTTAGTGCAAAGGTCATGCTGGTAATCTCGCTCGCCAGTCTTCCATATGGTCACCAATTTCTAGACTGCATGCTTGCTTTTGGGATTGTCAAGTAATTTTGAGTAAGTAAATCAATGTGTGTATTATAAAAACAAGCATTTCACTGTTGAAGCCAAATGCTCATCTCAGAAGCCTGGTGTTCACTTGGTCCTGGCACACAAGCCTGTGTGTAGCTGTGAAGTAAGACATGCTCCTTACTCTTCCTCTGTATCAGAGGCTATTTATAATACATTTTTAGTTGTATGGGTTTATTCTGAACTAAAGTTACTAAATTTTCACTTGGTTATGATCCTGACTTGTGTTAGGAACTATGCATTCCTTTTAATCAAATGTTTGACATCAAATTTCTCTCTTTCTCTTCTAGGTAAAGGAGAGAATATACCAAGGTAAATCTCTTCCTGTTGGTGTTTGGGAGGGCTTTTAGGCAGGCTAGGAGTGACAGTGACTTTGGTGTCTGATTTGACTCACTAACTGCTCCACATTTTACTGTTGCTACTAACCATGGTATAGTGGGGAGGGTGATGGTACCGGCTGAGGTAGGAGATGTGGGTGCAGGGGTGACTGCTTACTTGGAGCAGACAGAGCGTGGCTGGAGCACACAGGTGTAGAGAGAGGACAGTGTGTCTGTGCTAGGGACACCTCGGCCCCTATAGGTTTATCAGCACAGGAGCTCAAGAGACAGCAGTGTAGTTCTGTAGCCTAAAGTTTCTTTTTCTCATAGCAAATGACATTCATATGAAGTGATCCAACTTAATGTCATGTGACACCCTGTTGTCCTAGCAGCCCACTGTTCAGATTGTCTTGGGGTTTGGTGATCTCTGGGCTGAGGCAGCTTCTTCACATGGCAACCCCAGGGACTCTTTGTTCTTGGGCCAGCCATGCCCTGGCCCTGCACGTGTGGTCGGTTTGCAGCTTCAATGGCTCCCAACATCTGAATAATTCGTACTTATGTCTGGGTCACTGGGGTGCAGTAGCAGCAGGCAAGCAGGGAAAGCTGCTTTTCCACCCCTTGAGAACTGGATGTGTACGCTGGAGCCTTTGCCTTTGTGTCAGCCTCTGTGCCAGAGAAGAAACTCACTCAGCTTTCTGGAGATGACACACGGGTCCGTACTCATGGCCTCTGCTGTTCTGTGGTTCTCAGGCACTTGGCCAGGGTCACCTAGAGTGTGGGGATGGGGAGCCACAGCCCAGGCTGTGAGGGCAGAGGCTGGAGAGCAGCAGGGTCTGAGATGAGGAAAGTGGTCAGGGTGCTGCCCCAGCTGCAGAGGGTGCTCAGAGTGCAAGTCTGGACCCACGCCGGCCAGCTCCCCCTAGACCATCATGTGGCAGAGCTAGGCTTGCTCAGCCACAGGCCAGGTGGCATGCTGTCTTGGCAGGAGCTCACAAAATCTAAGGGTGCAGTTGTCATGAAAGTCAGTGTGTCAGTTCTGTTGGTGAATTGTTTTTCTTTACAGTGTTTCATGAGCATTAATTTAGTTTGTGGAAGTCAAGACAACAGTGTTAGAAACGGCACAGGAAGACACAGCCACACTTGTTCTCTTTGTAGGTGGGGAAAATAAAAAGGCTCACATGCAGCAGCTGATGGATGTCTCCCGGGTGAGTCCCTTCACAGAGCCCCCCAGGGGCCCATGAGTCCTGACTGAGCCTTACTTTCAAGCCTGTGCCCCTCCCTCACAATTTTCAGACACATCCCACAATATCCATATTTCAGAAAGATCTCCAACTCCTGCAGTTGAAGCTGAGAGCCTCCCTGTCTGCCAAATGTGATCTGGAAGGTAGGTCCCTGACCGCATGGTGGTCAGGCTGAGTGCCGGCATGAATGAGGCAGGGGTGCTGGGAGCCTGGTTCTGTGTCTTTGGCGGTGCCCTTGGTGACGTGTCTCACCTCCCAGACCAGATCATGGAGCTAGGTGAGGACTGCGGCACGCTGCAGGCAGACAAGGCCTGGCTGGAGGAGGAGTTTAGCATGCTGCAGCAGAAGGTGGAGATCCTGAAGGAGCTGTCCCACCAGAAGGAGCTGGAGCTGCAGAAGTGAGTCCCAGAGATTTTGCCCAGTGTCTCATGCTGGCCATTCCTGTCACTTCTGATTGTCTAGCAGCTTCGACATGCAGTGATCATAGAGGAAACTTGGGGCCCAGGGTGATGCTGGCTTCCTGTGATGGCGACCTGAGGCTGCTCCTGCCTGTCCACCGTCACCATCATCCAGCTAGCAGTTGGGCCAAGCGTCCCTGCCTCTGTAGCCTCAGCTCCACTGCTTGTTTCTTAAAGCCTAGGGATTTGTCGAGGGCTCAGTTCAGCATCTTTGGCATTGTCCTGCATGTGTGGATTGAAGGAGGGCAGCACTGGCCTCTGGGGCCCACATTTCACTTTCTGGCTGGGGCCAAGTCTCCCATCCACCCATTTGGCCTATCTTGTGTGCTTATCATGGCCTAGGTCTAGAGAAACAGCTCTTCCCAGACAGTATGTGGGGAGGGGAGGGTAGACTCCACCTATTGCTTTCCCAGCAGCTCTGCTGGACAATCCTGGCTTCCCTCGGGGTACACTCATCTCCCACACGGGCAGCTAGAGCCTGGCGCATGCTGTGATCTTAGCTTGTTCTGTTTGCCGATTAGACAATTACAAGGAGAGGTGAGAGAATATAAGAACACAAGCAAATGGCCCAGAGCCTGGAGCTTGACTACCCTCCTGAAACCCCGTGCCTGCTGCTGGGTGGGGAAGTGGCCTGTGGGCCGAGTTCAGCCCTGGCAGCTGCCTTTCTCCTAGAATATTGAGTCAGGCGGATTGTGCACAGCAGCAGCGAGAGCAGGCGTTGTTGGCTGTGGATGAGAAGGTGGTGCCGGCCACAGAGGAGGTGAAAATCTACAAGTGAGTGTGGCGTCCGAGACAGAGGAACTGGGCTGAGTTGCTTTGTTACATAGAAGAGATGGGCACAGAAGCACATGAGAAGCCCAAGAATGGAATGTATTTAACTCACACGGGGAGGGGTTCTACGTTAACAGACAGAAGCTTGTTAACAGCGAAGCTCCTTTGCAGATGTGTCCTGTGCCCATTTTTAGGAAATCGGCCTGCTTCTGTCACACGTCCACACCCACCAGAGTCTCAGTGCTCCGACAGACCGGGGGCAGCATTTTGAGTCATTTCTTGTGGCTATAATTTGAGGGGAAAACCTTTTTTTTTTTTTATCAGTACCGGGGATCAAACTTACGACTGCCCGCCTGCTTTGCAAGGCAGGTGCTTATGCCGCTGAGCTAAATCCCCAGCCCCTGAGGGGAAAACCTTTATGGGGAAGGTAGCCTTAGCCAGATTATTTTGAGAATGTTATTCAAGGACAGTTAAGGAAATTGACAAGTTGTCAACTCATAATCTCTTCTAGGCATTAAATGAAAAATCAGGAAACTGAGGTTCACACTGCACTCATCACGTTATGAAATGTTTCTGTATGATGAAGTCTTTAAAGGTCAGACATGGTCAGATTGTTTCAGAATTTATTCAATTCTAACTGCTAAGTATTATTTTTAGGTGGTGAATCGGTGAAATGGAAGCAGAATTAGAGAAAACAGAGCATTCATTTAAAAACCAGGCAAGGAATAGCGTGCGCTGTGGTGACAGCATCCATTAATCCCCCACACAGGAGTCATGGAGGGCTGCAGCCCAGGTGACTGGTCCCTCAACCTGCGTCTTGCCTGTTCTCTTTCAGCTTGCTACTGAGAAGAAAAAAGCCCATGAGAACTGGGTAAGAGCCTCCGCCTCGCCTCGACCTCTCCAGCTTCACTCAGCCACTGTGCTGAGCTGGCCTCTCTGTCTCCACAACTCAGAGCCCGAAATGCAGAGCGCCTGGTGGCAGATGAGAAGCGGCAGGCTGCCAACCTGCGGCAGAGGTTAGCAGCGCGTGGCGCGATGCGTGGCGTGATGCGTGGCGCCCACGTTTCAGCCCACTCAGGGTGGCTATGGTCACCCCCAGCCCTACTGTGTCTGTGTGCAGGCTGGTGGAAATTACCCAGAAGCTGGATATGCTTAAAGAGGAGCCTGGGATCATCAAGCGGATGCCGGACTGTCCTGGAGTGCAGAACGCGCCCCACAGAGGTGGGCACTCTGTCCTTCTGAGTGGGACTCGGGGAACTTAGCCACTGCAGAGAACGGGTAACCAGCGCGTGTGTTGTCTCCTCAGGTCCCCTGAGCCAGAAGGGCTGCTTTAGCCAGTCCCCTGAGAGTGGCGGTGAGTGCTCCCTGCCCCCAGGCGCAGAGCCTCCTGGATGGCTGCCCTCTGGGAGCCTGAACTTCGCATGCTGCGACATTGCCAGAGCAGACTTCGGTGAGCCTCTCCGGGGCCTCGAGTCCCGGACTCCGGGACACCATGCTGCCTTGCCCCGGGCATGGTTCCCTGAGCTCTGGTACAGAGCCCGGGTACTCCCGGCTCGGGTTTCCACTTAGCCCTGGGCCCTGTGCAGGCCCACCTCGATTGCAGTGCAGGAGCAGGGTCCTGGGAGCAGTCGCCCACCCCGTCACTCCCAACCCTCTCTGGCTGTGGCATGGCAGAGGCCGCAGTGTCGCCCTCTCCCTCTCTGCACAGTGTTCAATGAGTGGGCGCACTTTCGTCACCACTCACCTCCAGGCCACCAGGGATGGCTCCTGAGCTAGGCAGGTCCGCATGTTACTGGTTCTGTGTGCTGCTCCCAAAGCACGTGGCCGCTGTGTGCGGGCTCAGTCTTCCGCGGCCCTGTTTTCCTCCTCCATAGCCTGAGACCTAAAGCAGCCTCCTCCTCTGGCTTGGGCTGCCACAGCACAGCTTTCCCAGCTCTCCAGGTCTGAGAAGTGCTGACCAGGTGGAGCCCATGCAGGCTCAGAGGCCTCCTTCGACCCCCCCACCCCCACTGCCACCCCCACTTGATGCCTGCTGAGTGAGCCTGGTACCTCTGGCTCCACTCGAGGGCTCCCTGGCCTCCTGCCTCCCACGGGCCTTGCAGCTGCCTGTCAGAGGCAGCCATGCCTCTGCTCCCTCCAGGGACTGTCCGTGGGGCTCTGTAGTGTTCCCAAGGGCACTTCCGAGGGCGTGCCCGTGGCCTCTTCCGATCTTCGTCCTCATCCTCATCCTTGTCCCCGTCCTCATCCTCGTCCTGGGAAAGTCCTCTGAATGCCTTCTCTGCCCCCAGATCCCGGCCCTGGCCCCGTGGCCAACAGCAGCTCCCGCGGTTCCTCCCCAGCGAAGGACATGGACAACGCCAAGGTGAGCCTGGAGCCCGTGCCTGGGCCCGAGCTGCTCCATGGGCCCTCGGTTTCCCCTCTGTTCTCCAGCTGGCCTGGGCGTGACGACCCCGCTGACTAGGTCACCATCTGACTGGGCCTTCACTGAGGCTCGGGCCGCGTGCTGAGTGCTGGGGCACAGCACACCTCACGCCCCTGCCTTGAGTGTTTGGTCAAGCTGGACTTGACCTCACAGTACCCAGAGCCCACCTGCAGTTCCCTAGCAGTCCTCCCACCTCAGCCTCCCGAGTGCAGGATGACCGGTGTGCATAGCCACACTCGCGTGCTCTTGATTTTTGGGAGCAGCTGTTGGGGTCCTCAGGGTCTGTGCTAGGCAGACCCCTTGCAATGATCGGGATGAGGTGGGTGTGGGCTCTTGTGGAAGTGGGAAGCCGGTTCCAGGGCCCCTTGAATCCGACCCCGGGCGGCCAAGGCTGCTGCCTTGGCAGCCTTCACACCGCATGGGGCCGCCTGCAATGGTCAGAGCTCCATGGACTGCCTTCCAAGCAGCCCAGGCCCAGGTTCCTCCACCAGCCCCTCCCTGTGCAGTGTCAACTGGCCGAGGCAGCTTTCTGTTCTCCCCAGCGACCCCGGGTCCCTGGGAGCCCTTGTGTCGTCCCTGTCGGGCCCAGGGCCACGCTCAAGCTGGCAAGAGTCCACCACATGCAAGTGGGGACAGTGTGGTGACCATGCTCGCTGCGTGGTGTGCTGCTCAAGAGGGGCTGGAAGGGTCTGGGGATCCCTTGACTCCTCTCGGGACGGGCACCCGGTGTCACTGCCAAGATCGAAACTGGGCCTGCTTCTGTTCGCAGGTGAGCATGGCCGTGAAGGGGCCCCCAGCCCATCCAGGGCCCCTGTTCCTGGGAGGCCCCATGCCGCCCCACGTGGGCTATGGGTCACCGCTGTCACCACTGCTCTGCAGGCCCTTCGGGCCTCGGCCGATGCCTCCTAGGCCACCGCCACCATTCGGTACGGTAGGACACTTGGGCCAGCACCACCGCCTACCCTGTCCTCTCGCCTACCCTGTCCTCTCTCCTCTCCTGTCCTGATCGGCAGCTGCAGCCCGCCAGACTCGAAGCACGAGGCCCAGCACTCTGAGCCCAGTGCAGCCTCCACAGCTGCTTGGACCAGAAGGGCCCTTCCGACAGAGCCGAAGTGCCAGTCTCACCGGGGTGGTCACCCGGGACACCACCAGGCGGCTGGCACTGGGAGAAGGGAGGGTCAGGCTGTGGTTGAGCCTTACTGAGCCTCAGTTTTCCTTATCTGTGAAGTCCAGTGCATCACTCGACTTCCTGGTGCAGGGGAAGGGAAACCCTTGCAGCAGACCTGGGCTGCTCCTCAGGACGTGTATGCATGTCCCTCTTGCTTTCCAGTCGCACGCATGGGCCCACCACTGGGCTTAAGAGACTATGCGCCCGGCATGCTGCCCAGACGCCACGACCTGACACTACATCCCCGAGAGTTCTTGCCGGAACCTGTGCCATTCAGGCCTCCAGGCCCGCTCGGCGCCCGAGCATATTTCATTTCGGATCCGCGAATGCCACCACCACCCGCTGGGCTCCAAGACTACTGACCACCGCCTGCTGGGCCCCAGGACAACCCACCACCACCTGCCGGGCCCCAGACCTACCCACCACCACGTGCAGGGCCCCAGGACTACCCACCGCCGACTGCCAGGCCCCAGGACTATCCACCGCCGCCTGCCAGGCCCCAGGACTACCCACCGCTGCCTGCCAGGCCCCAGGACTACCCACTGCTGCCTGCCAGGCCCGAGGACTACCCACCTCCGCCTGCCAGGTACCAGGACTACCCAGCACCACGTGCCGGGCCACAGGACTATCCTCCGCTGCCTGCCAGGTCCCAGGACTACCCAGCACCACGTGCCGGGCCCCAGGACTACCCACCGCCGCCTGCCAGGGCCCAGGACTACCCACCACCACCTGCCGGGCCTCAGGACTATGCACCGCCACCTGCCAGGTCCCAGGAGTACCAACTGCCACGAGTTGGGCCCCAGGACAACCCACAACCCCGTGCCGGGCCCCAACAATACCCACCACTACATGCCAGGCCCCAGGACTACCCACTAACATGTGCCGGGCCCCAGGACTACCCACCAACACATGCCTGGCCCCAGGACTACCGAGCAACACGTGCTGGGCCCCAGGACTACCAACCACCACGTGCTGGGCCCCAGGACTACCCATCACCACCAGCTTGGCCGCAGGAATGCCAACTACCATGTGCCGGGCCCCAGGACTACCTGCCGCCTCCTACCAGGCCCCAACATTAACCACCGCCGCCTGCCAGGCCCCAGGACTACCCACCACCGCCTGCTGGGCCCCAAACTACCCACCGACACCGGCCGGGCCCCAGGACTGCCCACCGCCAACTGCTGGGCCCCAGGACGACCCACCACCACCTGCCGGACCCAAGGGCTACCCACAACCATCTGCCGGGCCCAAGACAACCCACTGCCACCTGCCGGGGCCGAAGACTAGCCACCACGGCCTGCCCGGCCCCAGGACTACCCACCACCGCATGCTGGGCCCCAGGAATACCCACCGCCATCTGCCGGGCTCCAGGACTACCCACTGCTGCATGCTGGGCCCCAACACTACCCACTGCCAACTGCCAGGCCCCAGGACTACCCACCCCTGATTGCCGGAACCCAAGTTACCTCCGCCACCTGCCGGGCCCCAGTATTAGTCACCACCACGTGCCAGGCCCAATGACTACCCACTGCCGTGTGCCGGGACCAGGACTAGGCAGAACCACGTGCCAAGCCCCAGGACTACCCTCCACTGCTTCCTGGGGCCCAGCACAACCTACCACCACCTGCCGAGGCAGAAGACTACCCACCACCGCCTGCCGGGCTGCAGGATAACCCACCTCCGCCTGCTGGGGCCTAGGACTGCCCACCACCGATGCTGGGCCCCAAGACTGCCCACCACTGCCTGCTGGGCCCCAGGACTACCCACCGCTGCCTGCCAGTTCCCATGCCACCCACCACCATGTTCTGGGCCCCAGGCCTACCCATTATCGCCTGCTGGGCCCCAGGACTACCCATTACCGCCTGCCGGGACCCAGGACTACCCACTGCCCCCTGCTGGGACCAGGACAAGGCAGATCCATGTGCCAGGCCCCAGGACTACCCACCGCCCCCTGCCAAGCCCCAGGACTACCCTCCACCACCTCCCGGGGCCCAGCACAACCCACCAACACCTGCCAGGGCCGAAGACTACCCACCACCAACTGCCAGACCCTAGACTAACCACCACCATGTGCCAGACCCCAGGACTACCCACCGCTACCTGCTGGGGCCGAAGACTAACCACCGCCGCCTGCCAGGCGCTAGGACTAGCCACAGCAACCTGCCGCGCCCCAGGATTACCCGCTGCCGCGTGCCAAGCCCCAGGACTCCCCATCACCCTGGGAGGGACCCAAGGACCACCCACCGCTGCCTGCAAGGCCCCAAACTACTCACCACCATGTTATGGGACCCAGGATTACCCACCGCCGCCTGCCAGGCCCCAAGACTGCCCACCACTGCCTGCCGGGCACCAGGAATACCCACTGCCGCATGATGGGCCCCAGCACTAACCAACCCAGCCTGCTGGGCCCCAGGATTATCCATTACCCCCTATGGGGACCCAGACTACCCACCCCCACCTGCCATGTCCCTGGCCTACCCAACACCACGTGTCGGGCCCAGGACTACCCACAGCGAACTGCCGGCCCCAGGACAACACACCGCCGCCTGCCAGGCCCCAAGACTAGCCACCGCCACCTGCCACTGCCACCTGCAGGGCCCCAGGACTAGCCACAGGCACCTGCCCGGCCCCAGGACTACCAACCACCGGCTGCCGGGCCCCAGGACTACCCACCACCGCCTGCCGGGCTCCAGGACTACCCACCGCCTTCTGCCGGGCTCCAGGCCTACCCACTGCCCCATGCTGGACCCCAGCACTACCCACCGCCAACTGCCGGGCCCCAGGACAACCCACCCCAACCTGCCAGGTTGCAGGACCACCCACTGCTGCCTGCTGGGGCCCAGGACTAACCAATGTCATCTGCCGGACCAAAGGACTACCAACCGTCGCCTGCCAGGCCCCAGGACTATGCAACAAAACCTTCCGGGACCCAGCACTACCCACCACCACATGCCGGGCTCAGGAGTACCAACCGCCACCTGGCTGATCCAGGACTACCCACTGACACCTGCAGGACCCAGGACTAGCGACTGCCAACTGCCACCGCTACCTGCAGGGCCCCAGGACTACTCACTGCCACCTGCCAGGCCACAAGACTACCCACCACCGCCTGCTGGGCCACTGGACTACCCACCCCCTCCTGCCGGGCACCAGGAATGCCACCGCCGCCTGCCACTGCCACCTGCAGGGCCCCAGGACTAGCCACAGGCACCTGCCAGGCCCCAGGACTGTCCACAACCGCCTCCCGGCCCCAGGACTACCCACCGCTGCCTGCTGGGCCCCAGGAATACCCACCGCCTTCTGCCGGGCTCCAGGCCTACCCACTGCCCCATGCTGGACCCCAGCACTACCCACCACCAACTGCTGGGCCCCAGGACAACCCACTGCCACCTGCCGGGGCCGAAGACTAACCACCACCACCTGCCAGGCCCTAGGATCCCTTCCAGAGAGGGAGTTGAATTTCATCAAAGAGGTGTTACATTTGCCATGAGCGTGACAGGAGGTGAAGGTTCTGGCCATAAGCACTGACAGAAGAGGCAAGCTCAGAGGACAACTAGTAATATTTGGAAAGCTAACTTGCACTAGGATGTCCTAGAATACTATTTTACTGTTTGTAGCTCATTGTTTGTATTCAAAATGGTTTGAATCTGCTATTTGTATTCATCAAAACCATCTCCATGCTTCCTCAGTACTGTAATCTTTTTTCTTCTCTGAATAACCCTGTGCTCAAAACCCTCTGAACATGGACTTAGATTGCATCCAAAGCTGTGGTCAAGAACAGGTACACAGGCAGCAGAGATCCTGGTTTTAAAAATGGTCCTTACTGATCTGTGTGACTTTATCATTTACTGCTTATGTAAACAATAAAAAGTGAAAGAAAATTTCCATGAAGTGGGTAATGTGAGAGAGAAAGCTGAGGAGAGAACCTGGAGGCCCCTGTGGACAAAAGGCATGTGATGGAGGGATGTGCTGTAGAAAGGAGAAGCCATGAGCAGAGAGGCCCAGGGATAATAATAATAAGTCCTTACACAACACTGACTGAAGCCAGTTAGGGTCACATTTTGTGCAATATCATTTAAATTTCATGATAATACAATGAGGTCAGCATTATTATTATCCCGTATAAGGAAACTGAGGCTCAAATAGGGTAAGTTACCTGGCCAAGACAGGAGAAGCAGGAATCAGGTAGTCTGGCTCTGGGGTCCAGGCACATGCTTGTTTGCAAAATAGCCTCTCCTGCAGGACAGTGAGCCAAATGGAGTAGGCAGGAGAAGAGGCAAGGCTACAAACCTCTAGAGGTGGTATGCGTGGAGGGTCTGCAGGTCCATGAGGCTGGAGAATACTGGAGGGCTTGATGAGGCTGGAAGAAGGCAGGGACTGGGCCAGAGTCTGGTTGGGAACACAGAGCCATATTGTGTAGCCTTCGATTGATTTTCTACCTGATCACTCAATTTTGCAAAATCTTCTGCCTTTTTATTCTCTGTTTCCTTCTATCTTTGATCCTTTAGAGAAATGAAGTTAACCATGTTAACCACATTAGTGGCCTGCTTAAAAGTCAAAGAAAATCTGGCCCAAAAGTAATGTACACAGGACTCTTCTTTCAATTTTTATTGTTTACATAAGCAGTAAATGATAAAGTCACACAGATCAGTAAGGACCATTCTTAAAACCAGCTGCCTGTCTACCTGTTCTTGACCACAGCTTTGGATACAATCTAAGTTTGTGTTCAGAGAGTTTTGAGCACAGGGATATTCAGAGAAGAAAAAAGATTCCGGTACTGAGGAAGCATGGAGATGGTTTTGATGAATACAAATAGCAGGTTCAAACCATTTTGAATAAAACAATGAGCTACAAACAGTAAAATAAGTATTCTAGGACATCGTAGTGCAAGTTAAGGAAGACACGAGTATCAATACAAACTGCTCTAGCTCCGATTCTCAAAGAATCCCCACTGTGTTCATAGGTGAGGATTCAGGCTGTGTATAGCGTGTGCTGAGGATGGAAGGTAGAAGAGCATGGTGTGGACAAGCTTGTAAGATAAAGGATGAGGACCTTCTGATGATAAGCCAAACACAATGTCCTTTTAAGACTCTCAGTTCCTCGTGTATCTGGAACAGAGGTCTAAGAAGTAGCTGAAGTTTATCTTAAAGGAAAAACCTGAGGTTATCGCTCTAAAATGAACTGAAAATCTTACACAAAAATTCTTTACTTAGATATAGGAGACATAGCTTATAAGGCTGTGTTCATTTTATTGTTGGTGCGGGATTTTTTCTATTGGCCATTCAAATACTATAATTATAAATGGAATTCTGATTATCTTATATTATCCAGTCTTTGATAAAAAGGCCTGTGTTAAAATTTT